TCATGACCGTGTCTTAACATTTCTCATATACGGATGTGAGACTTGGATAGCTTACAGAAGGCACATCAAACGTCTTGAATGCTTTTACTCCAGACACTTTGATGCTTCGAATGACAGGTCTCCGCGGCATTGAGTACAATCATGAAACACCGCTTAATATATTCACTTAAACGTTATTTTTAGTTCATAATTATTACTGTCCCATCAATAAATAAAAAATATCCATTACTTCTTTAAAAACGCAGTCGCACATACATACACAAAACCCTCCAAGGACCGGTACGTACAATGCCCCGAACCCGAATATTGTTCTACCTATATTTATATACATTAAAAATTAAACAAAGCGCTATTATTAAAGGATGAATAGTTTTCGCTGATTTTGACGCAATTCTGGGTTCTTTCTTGTTTTTTCCATGAATTTGTATTTCTTATGTTAGTGTTAAAAAACACTATATAAATTTTTACTATGTTCTATTCATAATGGTGAATGTGATAAATTATTCAACTTTTTAACAAGAACAATCTCAAGCTGATGTTAAATATTACCGCAAAATATTGTTTCATTTAAAATGATATGATCTTTTATGACGTGTATCTAATTTGTATTTATATACATTTATATTTATTTTCAATACCTCTAGTTAAATTATTCACCTATATTGCATATGATCCATTACTTACATAACTAGGATACCATAAAATTTGTATTTTATATGAATATTAACGTATGAAAATTGAAATGTAGTAGATTGGGTCCCTATATCATAGGTTCAGTAGGGCATCACAGATTCAGAGGGACGTATCATAGTTTGGCTGGTGTCATAGATACAGGGGGGTATCATAGATCTTGGAGGATATCATAGATTCCGTGATTCCCAGTGAACGAGAATAATATGCATTTCACTAATCCTAACTGTTTACACAACTATGGTAAAAATATGGATATCACAATTATACAGTTGAAAAATTAATTTAACACGAAAATAAACGCTTTGTATTTATGAGTGCATGTGAGATTGAGTGTGTTGTAGTCAAGGAGTAAGAAAATGCGTTCGAGCGCGCATGCGTGTGGTCGTGTCGGCGAGCAGATATGTTTATGTCTGTATGATTTCTGTGTGCTCCCGTTTATCCAACTATTAAAAATCCTAATATTGCCGGCTAAGAATGTGTATTCACAAACTCACACTCCTAAAATAATTGAATTTCATCCAAAAAAAAAAAAAAGAGGTAAGATTTTTAACACATCCCGACGCCTTATTATTTGATTGAAATTTTCATTGGATTGTTGATCGTTGCCTAAATTCAAACAAAACTGAAAATGAGTAAAAAAAAAAAAATAATAATCAGAAAAATGGAGGATAAGATAGTGAAATCGTTTGGCAGTAAGAAGAATAAATGTGTGGTCCAATCTGAGCATCGAATGGGCTGCCTGCAGGAGGCAAAGATGGATGGATAGGCCGATCAGGCGTCTTAATTTCCTCGTTCCCGCTCAATTTACTTGAAGCAAAATTTCTGCTGGGGTTAGGAAGAGAGTTAATTCCGGTGTGTCAAGACTGAAACCGATCTTGGCTGGGAGGGGAAAAAAAAGCATACTAGTTAAACGGGGTGTCGACTTTCTATAATCAGCCGACTGACGAGTCGAAAGAAAGACGGAAAACCTGACAGTAAACTATGCAGCATGACATTTGACCCGATTTCCATAACGACGATTTCTTAATATTCGCTCCTCCCTTCAATAATTTCGCCCTTCTTTGCCTCTTCTATTACATCTTATTTGCAATTCTTTTAATTCTCTCTTTCTTTCTCATTTTTGTCCCTCACTTTTATTTTCTTTCTTTTATCTGTTTTCTTTTTTCTTTTTCTATTTTTTATTCGATTCAGCAGTCTTAAATTTCCCTTTTTTTCCCTTTTTAATCTGTATTATTTGTTTGATTGATTGATTGACTGTCTTTTCATTTTTCATTTCTTTATTCGATTTATACTTTTCTTTTCTAATTGCTTTATTTTTTTTCCGATTTTCGATTATTTAGTTTTGCATTCTTTCATTGTGGCCTTCTCATTCAGGGAGAATAATTTTATTCGGTGAATATTGTTTGTTTCTTTCTTTCGTTCTTTCTTTCTTTTTTTTATTTCGCTTCCTTTGTAAACATGTTCCTTTCTTTTAGTTTTGATTTCTCTATTTCAGTCATTTCTTATTCATTCCTTTCTTATTTGTTCTTTTCGTTTTCATTTCCTCTGCTGCTTGCCTCAGCATTTACTGATATTTTTTAGATTTTTTCTTTAATTATTCTATTTTCCGTATTTAACTCTATCTATCTATCTATCTATCTATCTATCTATCTATCTATCTATTTTCTAATTCTATATATTTTTCTATCTAATTCTATTTCTCTCTAACTAATTCTATTTCTATCTATGCTGTCTTATTCTGTTCATTCTCTCTCTATCTCTTTCTCTCTCTCTTCATCTATTTATCAAAATCTGTTCATATCTATCTATGTATTTGTCTTTCTATCTCTCTAATTATATTTTTATCTATCTATCTATCTATCTATCTATCTATCTATCTATCTATCTATCTATCTATCTTTCTCATTCCGTTCATCTATCTATTCATCTATCTATCTATCTATCTATCTATCTATCTATCTATCTATCTATCTATCTATCTCATTCCGTTCATCTATTTATCTATCTATCTTTCTATCTATCTATTTCTCTATCTATCTATATATCTAATTCCGTTCATCTATCTATCTATCTATCTATCTATCTATCTATCTATCTATCTCATTTTTCCTCCATTCTTTCGTTCAACTTTAGTTTTCTTTCTTCTGCTATCTAATTTACCTTCCACTTCTAATTACACACACTTTCTTCTCTTTCTCGTTCTCTTTCACAGTTTCTCCTCCTCCTCCTCTTTCACTTTTCAACTCTTCTTTATTTACTCTGTTTTTTTTCTTTTCCTTATTTATTCCATTATTCCGTACTTCCTTTTCTTCGCAATTCGTTTTTACTTGCATTAACTTTTCTTTCTATCTTTATCAACTTCTTCATACCGCTTCGCAAATCTCTTTATGTTTTCTTATATATATTCTAATTTTTACACATCTCTCCAATATTTTCCACCCTGTTATTTTTAATACCCCATCCCAATCTTATCCTACGCCTTCTCTCCAATACGTCACCGTTTTCCTGACCCCACAACCTAATTTTTCTTTCTTTGTTCTTTTACAATTATTAAGCCCTTCCTGCCCATCTATTATCTCCCACCGTTCGGCAAAACCTTCCATTCGTTACTTCACTTTCTTTTTTTTTTCTCTCTAAGACCGCTGCCAACGAATTCGGTTTCAGTGTTATCCTCCCCACGATTCTAAGACTTCTGCCTTTCTTCTTCCTTTTCTATAAAGAAGCCCAGCCAATACAACTGCACCTTCTCACCCCGTAACTGACGGCACCACTGGCAAGGAAAGCGTCACGTGGTATCTCCCGATTTCAATTCGCATCTTCGGTCGTAAATCTCTCGTCACAACATGCATTATTAATCCGAGACAGAAAGATTTGATTGCCCGCTAGTGGCCCCAGCACCGTTCACCAACCAGACCGGCCGCTTTCCCCGTCAGTGTGTCTGTCCGTCTGTCCGTCCGTTTATTTGTTCGCTGTCTGTCTGTTAGCCAATCACACCGTCTCCCTGACTGAGTCACAAATACACGCATCCTCACTCATTTCAAAATAAAAGTCTGATTCCGGAGGCAGAAGACAGGTTCAAAGGCTGAAAGAGTTGAGCTTCTAGCCGGAAATGACGGAATGAAAGAGTTTTGTCGGTTAAGAAGACTTAAAGAATATAAATTCATATTTTAATGCTTCTTCTCTCAATGGTTTTGTTATGGGTGTAAATTTCATTCTAAAAATACTTGGCCCAAAATGACTTTTAAAGATCTTTTTTCTAAGCAGGTAACTATAAAATTTTAGCAATTCTAGCAACTGTTAATTAAACAGAGCTACTTGCGACATATAAGTGTAACTAAATTTGTAAAATAATATTTCCGAAGATATATTTTTCTCCAGTCATTTAAAAAGCATTTTGGAAAAAAAGATTAATGCAAAATTCATACATACATACATACATACATACATACACACACACACACATATATATATATATATATATATATATATATATATATATATATATATATATATATATATAGTGAAATAGTCTGTCTGTGGATTACAGTATATATGCTCCTGATAAATTATAACGGTTGCGCTCTTTGGGGAAGAACTGTGAACTTGTAAACAATGACTATTACTGCTATCTGATCAGGAGGTTTTGAGGATTGTAGAACCACCTCTTAATTGCTGGTGCTCCCAGGTGCACCCTGATCCGGTGTGGCAGCACCTATTAGAGTGCCAAGTATGGCCAAATAGTTAACCCACAAACTGGAGTCAAAACACTATGAAAGATTAAAAATAGGTTTTAATAACAGCAATAATTTCTTTGACGAAAATACATTATTACCAGCAATACATTTTTGAAGGAAAAAATATTACCAGCAATACATTCTTTTCATGATTTTTAAATGATTATTACCAGCAATACATTTTGGAAAAATATTACCAGCAATATATTGTCGGGATTAAATAACCGATTGATGTAGATATGCTGTAAAACAAATCAAAACAAGCCCATATATATATATATATATATATATATATATATATATATATATATATATATATATATATATAATCATGTTCAAATTCCAGTAGGTTTTCGCGTAAATAATTATGAGGAAGATGTCAATCCATTACTTTCCCCATCTATCGATTAAATAGTAGGACAAACAGGCCTCATTAGTTGTGGTGGAAAACAAGTCTAAGTAAATGATAATTCTGAATTCACAAGCATTTGGTCATGGGTCTAGCAAACCTACTACTTGCAATGGAAAACATAGCAACAATAACTAGGGAATCTATGTGACTTGAGTGATATATATATATATATATATATATATATATATGTGTGTGTGTGTGTGTGTGCGCGCGCACGCACGGTTAACACCTCATTGTATAAAAAAGACACTAGCAGAAACACTTGTCATCTTAATTTTAAGATTTAAGAGTCAATGACAACTCAGATACCAAACAGCAGTGATAAAAATGCTTCCTAAAGTAAATACGCGAGAATTCATTCTCTTGTCTACTTTTCCTTAAAGAAATCAACAATGCAAATCAGACACGTCATCGACCATCAGATTAGACGATTTCTTTGCAAAGTAAATAATATCATTAGTGAAGACACAGACAAAAATAACATATTTTCTACAAAAACCAAATACACGTCAACTATATACAAGCCAAATATTCACATAGAAATATAAAAAAGAAATACACTACCACAGCTGAACCGAACAAAAAAATAACTTAATTATCTACCGCAAAAAATTTAAAACAGCTAACCTTAATTATCAAAATTACAACACATCTGTGAAATCAAATCTATAGAGAACGAAGCTTATTTACGAGGTCAAATGCCACTTAAGCAACTGTATTCATGAATAATGACATCGGTCACACTACTACATACCTAGCCAGATGACTTATGTTACACCTATCCGACCACGGCTCAATCAAAAAGCATCTAAACACACACAAGCTTACCAGACTCTACCCGAAACATACTAATAGAAACTACTAGCATAATAAGCTCATCCACATGTAAAAAAGGTTAAAGATAATAGACGTCTTAAAAACAAAATAGGAAAGCCGACAGTCAATAATATTAACTACGAACACGGCCACAATGTGCTGACTGTGCTCGGTAAATAAAACAAACCTATAACTCTAGATACATACACGCAACTCTTACATCCACTTAAAAAATAAAAATAAAATTATCCTTGATAATGGTTAAAAGTATAGCTGAAAGCTCCCGGAATTACAGAACATTTTGAAAGTTTCTACGAACACTGTGTCTAAGCAAGAAAGCACTTGTTCGAAAAACAAGATACATAGATAAAAATCTTAATCGCAGGGCTTTGTCTGTTGTCTTTAATGAAACACGTATATATGAAAGATTGCGCCTAAAAACACACACACACACACACACACACACACACACATATATATATATATATATATATATATATATATATATATATATATATATATATATAATTTAAATAAAAAACATACCACTTTAAGGTTCCATGTAATAAATTATTTCACCACAGCCCTTTTAAAGGACTACGGATCATCAGATTTTACTTCCAAACAAAAAATGAAAAGAAAATTTACACATTTTTGACGGGCCGTATTAAACATATGTAAATTAACGAAGTGAGGAAGTGAGGGGGGAGAGAGAGAAGACATGAGTGAGTTAGCAGATATTGACACATTTAAACGGTTAACTTAACGGAAGTTATATATTGATATCGAAGGGGTAGAGAAGAAAAAGCCCATAGAGAGAAAAAGAGGGAAGGAAGTTAAGACAGACGATGTCACTAATTTTCTTTGTAAAAAAACGGCTAGAAACAGACGCTGTTATTTTGTTTTACTTTGATTGTTAAGTGTTTACCCATACGGATTACCTAGTTTTTCATAAACTATATATATATATATATATATATATATATATATATATATATATATATATATATATATCGTATATTTCCGCATATGAGACGGGCTTGAAATCCCAAAAATCACATTTAAAAATTGGGGTTGCTTTATACTACAATTTTAAATTCTGAGTGATGTTTTTGGTAGGCTAACCTCAGCCTCAGTGCGATAACCAGTAAAGTTCATGAAAAGATTCACATTATCAAAGAAACTGATACATATAATCAAATAAACAGATAATAAACGTAATAAAACAATTTCTATCGTATATTTTGTTGGCCTAATTTCATAATAAATTGCCTATTCGAAGAATAATCCTATATGAATAAAATCAACTTGTATCCATGCATGCTCAGCTAAGAAAATGTAAGTATCGAGTTATGATTGCGTTAACAGCAAAAATTTATCTTCCAATAATCATCACAGTAGTGTTAATTGCGGTACTAATAACATTTACGATAAAATAATGTTCATTTCTCATTGAAAACTCATTATCATTTTGGTGTTAATTAATACAATTTAGGATAACATACAACCTTAATTTTTCAAATAAAAATCCTTTTCCCGTAAGAAACATTCTTTAGGAAAAGAAGAAGAATTAGTATTCGAAAGAGATCAGTAGATGAATTGTAAACAAAACATTGGTTTCCCTTTTAAGCGAATTGTGTAGGAAAAATATGATACAGAATCGGTTTTGTTATTTCATTTATTTTGAATTTCTCAGAATACAGTAAGTAATAGCATTTCCATCTTTATATAATCAATATGCAGTAGTTTTATACAACAGGTATAGAAGAAATTCATGAAAAATTGGTATATTTTTGACCTCGTCTTATCTAAAGGAAGACTTATAAGCGGAAATATACAGTGCGCATTGCACGAGCACAGACACACATATATATATATATATATATATATATATATATATATATATATATATATATATATATATATATATGTGTGTGTGTATTTAGGCAGCAATCACTCTTTTATAAATGTTTCGTTAAAGATGTCTGACAAGGTCCTGCGATTAAACATTTTATTTAATTTTTATTGTGTTTGTACGAGTGTTTACTTTTCTTGACAGAAAGTGCGCAAAAACTATTCAAAATTTCTGCATATCCAAGCGCTTTCAGCTATTCTTTTAGGCAAGGACGATTTTTATTTTTTGCATTTTATCTAAATATGTTTGTTTTTTTTATATGTGTGTAGGATGTTATACGAGCAAATTATTTTCCGAACACGGTCAGCACACTGTGGCCCTGGTTATTGTTAATATTACTGAGTGTTGTCTTTTCCCATTTTATTAGAGGGCTTCGATTATATTTCATTATTTCTTACATGTGGATAAAGTTATTATGCTTGTATTTTGTACTACTATGTTATGGGGTCTGGTAAGTTTTGGCGCGTATTTAAATATACATATACCGTTTTGTTGTATCACAGCTCCTCAGTGCGACTAGAAGTCAGTCCGAAACCTCAAGCAAGGATCGAATCTCGACCGATTTAGTGTCAGTTAGAGTTTCTACTCCTAAGCCATCAGCACTCGCCAGAGAGAAACTGCTAATTCTTGCGCATTGTTTTTACGAATTTATGCCTTAACAAATCCTTTACACATATCACTTTTATAAAATGTTAAAAATATAACCTAAACATTGCAAAGAAAGTTTCCTATATATAAACATATAAACAATAAGGTTTATGGATTCACATTGGGTGATTGCATCTTCAACATCAACAATCAGAACAGAAAAAAATACTTACTTTGACTACATATGACCCTCATTTTCTCCTGGGTTAACTAGTCATTGACGAAATTTGCAATTCGTGCATACATCGATCATCACATCACAAACACCTCTCAACTATAGGGCCCACTGCAAGGAAAGCCATTTCAGAAGCGATTATTATATGAAAGAAAAATACACAATATAAAATAGTAATTATATTTAAGTATATTTAAGGCTTGGAACTTCTGCTGCACTTACTTCATTCAGTTCTTGACTTACGGCCATATCACATTGTAAACCGGTTCTCATACGATCACTGACGTTAAGCAATGTCGACCCTGGTAAGTATCTAGTTAGGTGACCGCTTGTGAATAACAGGTGTTCTAAGTTTGGTGTGCGTGTGATGTAATGGCTTATGATTCGGAGTTGGAAATAAGAGAGCCAAGATTGAATTCCCATCTTGTTCGTTATATTCACTTATGCACAAATGACATCGGGAAAGGTAGGAATCCACTTCTTCTTATCCCCAGCTGTCAGTTACTTAATAGGACATGTACCTGTAAAACCATTCTTATCTTTAAAAAAAATCTTTATAATCTAAAAATATTCTCTGGTTTAATTAACCTACAAGGGGTTGATAAGACGTAAAAAAAAACCCCCATCAAATCAGTCAAAGAATTCAACTGATACATATGATATCATGTAGGACATATATATATATATATATATATATATATATATATATATATATATATATATATAGTCATCCACACACAGAAGGTTTCGCAGTATCACAGCTCATCAGTGTGGCTATACACCCGTTTGCTTCAACCGGGATCGAAACTCAAATAATTTGGCATCAGTCAGAGATTTCACACCCAAACTCTTGTCACATGGCAGAGAGGGAGGGAAATTTTAACGTTTTTAGTATGCGAAAGTCGTCAGTAGCAAGGAGAGCTTGATTCGTGTAGAAGAGCATTGCATTAGCATCTGTTTATGTTTCCAACATATAATCATCAGATCATCCACTGTGAATTTGAGTCCCAATTCTTACGTTTTACCAAACTTGGCAGTTCTTCTATTATCAAGGTGTAGGATATTTGATAGCAAATGTGATTGAAACATAAACAAGATGAAAAGTGTCTAAATGTAATCAACAATATTATCTACCGAAAACAAATATTCTTTTCATAGAAAATATGCGTCCACCGAAAATTTCTCGGACATTCAGGCCGGCAAATTTCATAATGTCTGACGGTTATATTTGGTTACGCATCGAGCAAATATGAATGTACAAGAGAAAATCATGGAAAATTGTAGTGTAAAATCGACCCTGCTTTCCGAAACGTTCCTCTGTAGCTCGATCGGTAAAACCCGTCAGCCTATATGACTGTTCCGTATTGGATGCAGGTTCGATTCCAGTCGGAGGACGCATATTTTCTTTGAAAATTTCTCGGGCATTCAGGCCGTTAAATGTCATTAATACTGCTTATTATAAACAGAGAATTTACTTAAACATTTGTATCTATAAAAAGAACCTATAAAAAAATAATTGTCGGACTTTTTTCATTTTTATATATATATATATATATATAGTAACCCGGATATAAGAGAGATTTTCTCTGGGCGCAAATTAGAGCCTGTGTTAATGTATATAAAAAAGACCAAACCCGGATATAAGAGACTTCTTCTCCGGTCCCGACAACTCTCTTATATCCGAGTTATACTGTATATATATATATATATATATATATATATATATCGTTGCGTGTTACTCACATTCCTTTCTATTTTGCTTTTTTATTTTTTCCTTTATATTTCTTGAAGTCTTTCTCCAGGGATATTAATGTATACTGATTCCTTTATTCTCACACATAACCTCTAACCCACCAACTGAGATAAGATTGAGATATACAGGTATATTCCATAGAATAATCTATAATAACAGTACGTTCACACCTTCCAAAAACCGTAAAAACCGTGTTTCTTTTTGCCCCAAGTTTTAGAGTCATTTGTCGTTTCCAGATATAATTTCCTGCTGGACTAGTGTTTATGAAGTGAGAGCCACCAAAATTTGATTGTTCCTTTCGTTGTCTGCGCTGACCAGATCACTTCTTCCTGGCCAATTCTGAAAAAAAAATAGCTAACAATAAAAGCAAAGGCATATAATAAAGATACTAAATAAAGCATGTGGCCCTGAAATTGATTGACACCCGGATGTTACTGCCGCCATTTTGATCTAATCAACCTCTTCTTTGTCCACGGCACCGGAAGATTCGTGAGACCACGTGACTGATCATACTCCCCTTTTTTATTCTTAACAAGCTATTCTAAATCCGTTGTTATTGACTACTCTTCCTCATGGTGATAGGATTCTTTGTCATATTTTGGGAGGTCTAGCCATGAATCGAAAAGATGCGCTTGTGGTCCTTAAATTTAACAAGAGAAGATAGAAGAGGTAATGTGAATATGAAGAAAAAGATGAATTTAGAAAGAAAAAGAAGGAAAAGAAAGAAAAATATGGAAAACTAACTAATAAAGAAGAAAAGAAAAGGGAAAAAATCAAATGAAGCAAAGTAAAAGCGGATGGAAAAAAGACAAAGTGTAAAAGGAGTGAAGAAAAAAAAATAAAAAAAAGCTTAAAATAATTAAAATATAATATATATATATATATATATATATATATATATATATATATATAGAGAGAGAGAGAGAGAGAGAGAGATAGATAGATAGATAGATAGATAGATAGATAGATTTAAACAAAGATAAAAAAGAAAACTAAGTTAAAGGAAAAGAAAAAATATTGGACTATTAAAGAAATGAAAGAAAAAATAAATGAGGGAAAATAGATAAACTCAAGATGAAGAAAATGAAGACAAAGAAAGAAAGACAGAGAGGGTGTGAGAAAAATAAAGAAAGAAAATGTGAAGAAAGAAAGAAAGAATGAAAGAAAGAAAGAAAGAAAGAAAGAAGAAAGTAAAATAGGGAAGGAAGAAGTAAATAAATAAGTAAACTACAAAAGATATAAAGAAGGAAATGATGAAAGAAAAAGGAAAGAAGATAAAATAAATTAGGAAAAATGAAATTCGAAATGGAATAAATTAAACGGAAAAAATGTAAGAAACAAAAAAAAGGAAAGAAAAAATGAAAGAAAAAAAGAACAAGAAAAGAAAAAAAAGAAATAAACAGATAAATAAGAAATACAAGAAGAATGAATGAATACTGAATTAAACGGGACCTGCAGAGAGAAAGAAAGGAAAATAAATATCGATAAAAGAAAGAAATAATTAAAGAAAGTAAGCAAGAAAGAAAGAAAAAAAGAAAGAAAGAAATTAAAATATACCAATGAATGTTTTACTATTAAGTATAAATATTATAATATAGCAAATCTGTTATAAAATATTCCATTCTATACAAAATATCAGAAGGAAAATAAAAGTGAAACTTTAAATAAAAAAGAAATTTTGAAATATCGAATCAGAAAAAAAAGCCGTAAGAATTCATAGCAAAATAACTAGAACGATCCAGAATGGGAATGAATTCAAAAAACAAATCAGATAAGAAAAACTAAAAAAAAAAATAAAAAAACAATGAAGGACCAAGCGAACGAGTTTTATAATTTGTTCTAATTTCGAAATTCACATTTCTGTTACGGAAACTAAAGTAATTAATGCAAGAACTCTTTGCAAACCTTTCAGAAAACAGTAACACAAATACATTTGTAACCTATCCTTTGTAAGCCTCCCGGCAGAAATCACGAAAAAAAGGTGTTTTAATTAATCACAACCTTAAACGAAACAAAGATGTTTGTCATGTTTCGATGACATATGTTCATCTTCGTCCTTTTTCGGTTATCACGAATTTGACCATGATCACTTGCCAAAGAATAATGCGCACTTCGATCCTGGTAGTTGCGTATAAATTTGAGGATTGTTTGCGATTAATCTTTTCATTTGATTGTTCATGTGTTCGTATAAGTGTTTTCTTTTCTGGGTACAATGTATGTAAAAACAGTTCCTGTTCAAACTAAACTTATAAAAATTACATTGGCCATATTACTACATCCCTAACTAGACGGCTAACGTCACACCTACTCAGTCATAGCTCAATTAGGTCTCCTAAGCCTCCAAGAAAACCTATAAATCCCATCCGAAACCTACTATTAAAATACAAATAGACTCATCGATATGTAAAATGTATGTTAAAAATTATGTAAGCCCTAATAATAAAAATGAAAAGCCTAACACTCAGTAACGTTAACAGCAAACACAGACACAATTTGCTGACCATGTTTGGAAAAAAAAAAAATTTCTCCAACTTCAAACGCATACCTAAAAAATACACATAGAGTTAAAATTAAAAAAGTAAAATTAAAATCGCCTTTGATAATGGCCAAAAAAGTTGCCGAAAACGCTCGGATATGAAGAACGTTTTGATAGTTTTTACACATCTTGTGACCAGAAAGGAAAACTAAACTAAATAAATATAAAGCTCAATTGCAGTAACTTGCCAGTCATCTTTAACGTAACTTGTATCAAATAGGGATTCCTGTCCAAATACACAATCTCATATATATATATATATATATATATATATATATATATATATTATATATACTGATTCTTATCAGTGCTACGCAGCTCTGCTCTCTTGGTAACTCTGATCATGCGGGAGTGTCTGTTAACATCTCCTTCCTCGCTGCCAGCCATGAAGCTACACCAACAGAATATCTTTCTGTTATCAATGCGCAGACTGGGAATCATTTCGTGATTTCCTTCGTGACGTCACTTGGTATGTGGCTTTTAATCATCCCGTTCAAAAATATGCTACTGAGATCTCCTGGGTAAAATCCGGCATCGAGATTTTCATCATAGCAAGATAATGCAAAGTTAACTCGCGTACACCTCCTTGGTTCTCAGTTGCTTGTTTAGCCCTTAGGAATCATTTTTTTCGTCTGTACTGGAGCGACATGGCTGAGTGTAACAGGCGTCTCTTTCTTGCTGCTCTTAATGAATGAAAGCGTGTCCTCAATAAAGCAAAGCTACTGTTTGAATATTGCAAGTTTGGATCTAAAGGTTGTTGGCGGCTTTGCAAGAGTGTACTGAACAACAGTAAATCCTCGCTCCCTCCTTTATTCTAACAATTCGAAGTCCTAACATCTACAGCTGATAAGGTTGAATACTTTGCTCGGAAATGCTGAACACTAGACTCATTCAGAGTACCCATTCAGAATACCCATCTGATTTCCCCCTAGAACTAAGGCTCTACTGAGTGAGGTGTGCATAACCCCATCGATGGCGACATCATCTCTAAATTAGACTCATAAAGCAAGTGGTTGTAACGGGATGCCAGCAGTAGTCCTAAAGAAATGTGCTACTGAGCTGGCTCCAGATCTCTCCAAACTATACATCTACTGCCTGTCTCATTCTTGCTTTCCAGCTTTTGGATGCCCCCCCACCCCTGTAATTTCTATTTTTAAGAGCTCAGGAGACCCTTCTGACCTACTTAACTACCGTCCTATCTGTCACCGACCACACTTCGGCAATGTCTTCGATGCCTTAATCAATGTCAAAGTGGTTAAGCATCTTAACTCCTAAGATCTACTGTCTAAGAAACAATATGGTTTTCACTTTGCCCCGTCTATTTACAGCCATAACTGATTATGTATACTAAGCTCTTGATAATAAAGGCGAAGCTTGACATGTGGCTCTAGATATCTCGAAGATATCTAGATATATTTGACAGGTTTTGGCATGCCGGTCTTCTACGTAATCTTACAGGACGATTATTTGATTTAATCCAATCATTCCTCTCATGGTCGTCCTGAATGGGTTCTCTTCCAATTCCTTGCATACGAATGCTGGTGTTCCCTAAGTCTCTATCCTGGGTTCTACACTTTTTTTGATCTTCATCAGCGATCTTCCTGATGTCATCAGTTCTCAAGTAGGCATCTACACAGACGACACTGCCATTTACTCATGTACCAATAATAAATTAGGCATTGCTGATAAAGTTAACCTGGCCGTTGGTCTTGAAGAGGATTTCCAATCTCTGGTTGACTGGGGTAGGAAATGGCTTGTAAATAGTAATGCTTCCAAAAGGAAACTGCTCTCATTTAACCCCCATAAAGAAACCTCTCTCCTTCCTATTAACATGGCAGATGCTCAACTTTACGAGAGCGTCTCACTGCTCCTACTTGCTGTCAGGTTTTCCACTGACCTGTGGTGAAACAACTACATTGAATCTATAGCTGCTTCTACTGCAAGGAAAGTTGGTTCTCTGTGTCACACCCAAAGGTTTTTATCGTCTGAGTCCATCCTTCACATCTACAAATCTACCATTTGTCGATGAATTGAATACTGTTGTCATATATGGGTTGGTGCCCCTGCTGTTCATCTCGAGGTGCTCGACAAAATCCAAAGACGGATATGCAATTTAGTCGGCCACTTTTTCACAGACGTGATCTGGTTTCCCTCTGTTTTTTTTCTACAAATACTTGCATGGCAACTGCTCCGAGAAGCTAGTTTCACTGGTGCCCTACACGGACTTAAGCGTGCTACTAGTTTGGCATCTAGGTCTCACCATTCTACTGTTGAAACAGTTAAAACTAACTGCTTCTTCTACTCCAACAGCTTCTTCTCTCGTAATTCCCAACAATGAAATACCTTTCCACTTACTCGCTTCCATGACAACTATAATCTTCACAGATTTAAATGTAACGTCAATCGACATCTTCTGATGCCTTGATCCCCTTTCTTCTTTTGCAATATCCCCCCTATACCCAGCATTTTCTCTTACTTTCATTCTCTTTAACACCCTGTGTACTAGTGACACACTCGCCTTAATTGGGGTGAATGCTTATTAAAAGCTAAGTCAGCTATCTCTTCTTTCCCTACCGTTCCCCTTCATCTCATGACTGAAGCGATAAAGATAGTATTTATCATAATATAGACAGGGTTATCTCTCGACATCCGTTTGCAAATATATTCGTATTTAGTAAGTTTAATGCCCACCATGTTAGGTTGCTTAACTGATTCCGCTGGCATCCAAATCCTTTACTTCTCAATCACTCAATTTCTCACGCAAGTGATAGACTACGGCACGCGCTTCTTCAGTAACCCAGACGGACACGCTTCTCTTCTAGATATCTTTTTTTTTACCTCTGTCCCGGATTCCTGTCATACTATGTACTTAACTAATAATCGCCTACCAACAGAATATCATTCTGTTCATAAATGCGCAACTAAGGTCTCCTCATGGGTGAAAGCCGGCATCGATGCTTTTGTCCAGCAAAGAAATACTTAATTTTCAACGTATTCATCTCCTTGGTTCTCACCTGCATGCTAGGCCGCTATATCCCAAAAGAACCACTTCTTCTGACCGTACCAGAGTGACACATCTGATTGCAACAGCGTCTCATGGTCTTTGCTCGTAACGAGTGCAAGCGTGTCCTCAAGGAGTGAAGTTACTGTTTGCTGACAGAATGAAACAACGTATAGGATCTCGCAAGTTCGTTTCAAAAGATTATTGCCGACTCTGCAAGAGTGGCTGATAAACAGAAAGTCCTCAATCCGTCTTCTATTCAATCAATTCGAAGTCCTGTCATCTACAAGGGATAAGGTTGAATGCATTTCTCGGAAATTTTCTTCCAAATCAAAACTCGGCACATTTGGTGTAACCAGACCCGATTTCTCCGCTAGAACAGAGATTCGATTTAGTGATATGCGTATAACCTCATCACTGGTTTCGGACATTATTTCAAAATTAGACTTCCATAAGGCAAGCGGAGGTGACTGGATCCCAGCCGCCGTCCTAAAGTAATGGTCTCTCCAAATGGTTCCAGTTCTCTCCAGACTCTACAACTTTTGCCTCGCTGCTTCTTGCTTTCCAGACTCTTGGAAGATCACCTCTGAAGTTCATGTTTTAAAAACTCTGGAGAACATTCTAACCACTACAACTATCGCACTATTCGCTTCCTACAGATTTTCGGTAAAGTATTCGAGGCATTAATCAATGTTGAAGTGGTTAAGCATCTTACCTCTCACGACCCACTCTCTGACAAACAATATGGCTTTCGTTTTGCCAGGCCTACCGCTGATGTAATAACGGCCATCACTGATTATGTATATCATGCTCCCGATAATAACGGCGAAGCTCGAACTGTGACTCTATATATATCGAAAACGTTTGACAGGTTTAGCACGCTTGTCTTCAACGTAAGCTCCATGGATCCGGTATTATTAGACGATTGTTTGATTTAATTCAATCGTTCCTATCACATCATGAAATAAAGGTAGTTTTTCAACGGCCTCGCTTCCAGATAATTTCACACGTACGCTGGTATCCCCCCAAGGCTC